TAAGGGATGAGTGCTGCATGTAGAAATTATTATACTAAATGAAATAACATGGACTCAGAGAAGCAAGTGATGTATGTTCTCCTTCATTTGTGGATCTTAGCACCAATCCCTCCTGCAGATCTTTGCACAACTGCTCCTTCCCACTGCTTACATCTCAGCTAGAATGTTGGTCCACATAGGGGCCTCCCTAGACCTGCCTCCCTCCTTAGTTTAGGTGATACCTTATACCCCAAGAAAATCCACACCCTACCGGCCCTGGTTTTGTGTGTGTGTATGTGTGTATGTGTGTGTGTGTGTGTGTGTGTGTGTGTGTGTGTTTCTCACTATCAAAAGTAATCAAATTTTGGCAGCGAGATGATTCAGTGGGTAAAGGACTTGCTACCAAGCCTGACTACTTAAGTTCAATCCCCAGGACTTACATAGTGGAAAAGGAGAACCCACTCCTACAAATTGTCCTCTGACTTTCACACACACTGTGGCACATGTGTCTAGACACATACACACACGAATAAATAAATGTAAAAAACTTGTTTAGAATAATAATAATGAAGGCTGGAGAGATGGCTCAATGGTTAAGAACACTGGTTGTTCTTGCAGAAGATCTGGGTTCAAATCCCAGCACCTACATGACAGCTAGCACCTGTCCGTAACTCCAGTCCCAGGGCATTCGACAGCCTCTTCTGACCTCCACAGGCATTACACAACACAGATGCACTTACCTACATGTAGGTAGTACACACATATCCATAAAATAAAAATAATAAATAATTTTTTTTAAGTTTAAATAAGGCTGGATGTGGTGGCACATGCCTTTAATCCCAGCACTTGGGAGGCAGAGGCAGGTGGCTCTCTGTGAGTCCACACTTGTGCCAAGAGCTGGGCTTGTGCCAAGTACTCTGGAAGCCCATGGGGCAGCACCTTTCAGGACCTCAGAAAGTGCTGGATGACCATCAAATGACTAAATAGCAGGGGCTGGAGAGATGACCCCTTGGTTAAGATCACTGGCTGCTCTTCCAGAGAACCTGGGGTTTGAATTCCCAGCACCACATGGTGGCTAACAACCATCTGTAACTCCAATTCCAGGAGATCCAACACCTTTTTCTGACCTCTGCAGGCACTGCATGGCATGGATGCACTTACATACATGCAGGCAATACACTCACATAAAATGAAAATAATAATAATCAAATTTATTGATTTGTCGTTTGTCTCACCCATCTAAATGAGTTATAGGACTTTGGTTTTTGTATTTACCCTTCTGTCTAACAGTTAAAGCAATGCTTCACACATCCTAAATAAGCATTTATTTAAGCAAAGGCTAGACACGTACATTTATTCATTCATTTATTCACTTAATAAAAGCTTATTGATTGTTCTTTATGTGCCAGACAGGAATAAACTAAGATTCCTGTCTCCAGGAAGTTTAAATTCTAGCAGCAGTAAGAAGCAATAAAGAAAATAATAATGATTTATCCAAAGTAGTAGAACATAGCAGATGCTATAAGGAAAAAAGAGAAATGTGGAACAGAACAAGGTGACAGACTGAGGCTAGCCAGCTGGGGAGGAAAGGTGAAGGAACAGGAAGGTTTCTGTGTAAACGAAGGTGATGCAGCTTACCTAGCCAGAAAGGGGGCCTGGCAAGGGTGTTTATGGCAACCATAGCAATCCTTTATGCAAATGAAGTGCCCTGCTTCTACCAATTATAGCTGTCCTTCATAAATGAAAGACTGTGTTTGCACTAATCATAAGCTGCTGCTAGGCCTTCAGGGAACGAGCTCCCCTTCTGGCCTGGGCAGAAATGGCTGCAGGGTCATCTAGGATTCACTGAGGTTTGTAATAGCAAAAAGTCGGACACACAAAAGTCTGCTACATGGAAGTCTGATGCATATTCTTTAAAACCGTTTTGATTGAGACAGGAGATGGAGTCGGCAACTCCCTTGCTGGCCAATCAGTTTGGCCAGAATAGAAGCTCCAGGTTCAATGTGAGACAATCTCAAAATACAAGGAGGAGAACAAGAGAGGACTACACCTGATGTCAACCCCTGGCCTCTGAGCATGTGTACATCACACACATACACACACACACACACACCCTAAAAGGGGAGGCTGTCATCAACATTAACAATGCCTTAGCAGTATTCACAATATTCTAATGATGCTTAACTCCCCTTGCAGTGCCCCAGAGATTGATGGCTCCCTCTAATCTGTCTACACTAACACAGGGCAGAGTGTAGTTAATGTCTACTCATTCAAAATAATGTCTCCCTCCTTCTGAGCAATGTTCCCCCCCGACCTCATGTTCCTATTAGTTATACTATAGCTCTCTGCCTTGTAGTAACTGGCTTGAGAGTCCATGCCCAACCAAAAAGATCCTTTCCTAGGGATTTTTAAGTATTGACTTCTGTTGAAGAAAAGGCTTCTTCCCCTCTGCTTGCAAAGCTAAGGATGTGAACTGAGCTGTCAGTACTCATTCGTCCATACTCATTTTTCATTTTATTGAGTGTCTGCTAGAGAGCAGTTTCTCCTAAGCAGTAGAACTCCGGGGCTTAACAAGATCAATGGGGTCCCTGTTCTCATGAGAGAGAAAAATACAGGAGGTCAATGAGGAAAAAGTGATAATCATTTTAGATCACAATACATCTTCTGAAGAAAATCACCATGGTACTAGATAGTAAAAGATTAAGAAGGTAGATTGGGGGGTGGAAAAGATGGCTCAGCATTAAGAGCACTGTCTGCTCTTGCAGAGGACCCAGAGGACAGAGTTCAAAAGTTTGGTTCCTAGCACCCACATGGCAGCTCACAGTGAGTTCAAGGCTAGACTGATCTACATAGTGAGTTCTAGGACAGCTGGGGAGGTTGGTGAGTAGAGTCTGAGTGGAAAACTTTCGAATTAAAATCTTGAGGGATGGGGAGGTATCAGCCATGCATACGTCTTGGGAATAAATGTTCTTATAGAGATCCTGAGGTAGAATGAGCTTCACAAACCAATATGCCCAAAAGGAGTATATTAGTTGGTGTCACATCACTATAACAAATGCCTGGCACAGGCCGCTTTTGAAGTAAAGACTGGTTTATTTGGATTTGTGGTTCTGGAGGTTCCAGTCCAAGACTGGGACTCTACCAAGGCTGATGTATCAGTGTAGGCACACATGTTCACATCTTCAGCCAGGAAGAAAAGAGAGAGAAGAGAAGCCTGAATCCCACAAGCTTCCTCAAGGCCACTCCCCCAATAACCAGGGTTTCTAGCCCTTAAACCCACAGAATTTCAATGGTTTGTAAATACATTAATATGAAAAAGATCAGAAAGAACTACACTGAAATCATGACAATGAAATATCTGGGTTATATAACTTTTCTTCTTTATACGTTTCCTATTAATTCATTCCACTGACTACATTTAACACATACTAATTTAAATGGTGAAGTTTCTTGTTCCAGTTTGTATTTCCTTATCTTGCCCCTTCTCACTTTTTTGGAAGACATGTCCTCATCGGTGCTGTGATCCCCCTCAGCTTGTGTGCTGTCCTTCACTCTTGACCTGACAGTGTCATGAGCAAATACGAGAAGAGCTCAACAGGAAGTAGAATATTCTCAAGTTAGTTTGACATTGAGACTATCCTCCTATTATAGAAAATCCAGCAGTCAAGAAATCAAGCACTCACATGGAGAGCTGGAGAACTCACTTTTATTATGCTAGTGAACCCAGACCAGCTCATGCTCTGAGGTTCTGGGCCTGGATTACAGAAATTCACAGGCCTTAATAGGGCTTTTACACCGTGTCTTGATGAGTACAGCATCGGTGACTTTAGTCTGTAGCCTACGTGAGTTTCAACACAGATATCTATGTGTATATAAGCCATTGCAGGAAATTCTTGTGGTCAGCATGCTTACAGAAGCAGACACTGCAGGCAGGGGTTACAACATTCTTAGCTGTGTAATTTACTGCTTTCACAAATACACTGGTTACCAGATAGTTCCCCAGATAATTGTGGTATTTACTTCTGGTCCCTTTGTGTTCTCCGTTTCAGTTTTACCACCTCCATCAGTATAGTTAAGTGTTTACTGGGAAGAAATTTCAGAGAGTACACAGTGACTACTGGTTGTCCTAACGCACAGGAAAGTACAAGAATTAGCCACAAGAAAATGATCTCAGACACACAAAAGAGCAACAGTAATGCATGGGAATATTTCTTTTCCTCTTCACTCCCATTTACAAAGTCAGCCCTGTAAGGTGTGGACTCCAGGTGCTCCTCAGTGAATGCCACAGCTAGCCTTGAATCAAGTTTGTAAGCTCATTCCTGTAACCACATTTCATGTACAGGTTAATAATGACTCCGCCTCCAGGTTACAAACGAGGACACCAAGCCCTGGAAAGTTTAAGTGTTGGGCCAAGGTTAGTCCTGTCCACCACATCTTTCTGCAGCAAGTGAGATCTGGACCAAAGGACAAACCTGAGACCAGGTAGAGGTGACCGACTCACAAGCCACACCTGGCTTTCTCTCTGAATTATTTCTTGGCAGAAAATGCCACTGCGCAATCAGGACAGTCGACTGTAGTTAGAATGAGTTCGTGGAACAAAGCAGTTTAATTAAAGAAAAAAAAAAATTAGTTGAGTTTCAGTGCTGTTCTCTTCAATCCAGGATGGAAATTAATTTATAATAACTTTATCTTTTATTCATGTCATGCTGCATATTTCAGAGTTATGTTGGCATCCTTATATTTTTCAGCTGGGTGAGAAATAATGGTGTGTTTCTAATAGGCTGCTAGTCAGTGCTGAAAGAACATAGCTGAATCTCGCTAACCATTCAGGGAAGTCTGAAGCCACCAGGGAGTAGCTCTGCTTTCCTTTTGATGCGTCATGATATTTAAAATTCAGAGGGCTGCTACAGGCTTCAAAGCAGCCCTTTCAGATTGATCACTCCACAGCCTAACTCCATTAGCGGCTCAGGACAAAGAGAGCTTATTCATTTTCCTCTAACAGCCTCCTTCTGTCTCCTCAGACCAACCTGACAGAGTTGAAGTCATTTGGTTCCCCACCTCTGGCCGTCAGCAACGTAAGTGCTGCAGTGATGGTGCTCATGGCCCCCGGGGGCAAGGTGCCCAAGGACCGCAGCTGGAAGGCTGCCAAGATCACCATGGCCAAGGTGGACAGCTTCCTCGACTCCCTAATCCACTTTGACAAGGAGAACATCCCTGAGAACTGCCTCAAAGCCATCAGGCCATATCTGCAAGACCCAGAGTTCAACCCAGAGTTTGTGGCCACCAAATCCTATGCAGCTGCGGGCCTCTGCTCTTGGGTTATAAACATCGTGAAGTTCTACGAGGTGTTCTGTGATGTGCAACCCAAGCGTCAAGCTTTGAGCAAAGCCACCTCAGACCTCACAGCTGCCCAGGAGAAGCTGGCCGCCATCAAAGCCAAGATCACTGTGAGTGACCCTAGAGCTCCCCACCCCACCCCTAGCCCAACACAGCCAGCCTCTAAAACACACAGCTCCTTCTGGCCATCACCCAGAACTTGACAGGAAGACGCCCAAGGAGAAGCAAGAAGCAGGAAAATAAAATGTTTACATAAAATCTCTTCACTTTCAATAGGGATAACTTTTTTAGAAATTAAATTAATTAGTTTTTATTTTTATTGAGTTTTTGTGCATTTCATATAATACATCTTAATCTAATCTAGACCTAATCCCCTATCCCCACCCCCATAATACCTCCCACCAGATTTCAGGTATTCTGTCATATATGTTAAATCCTATCTAGTAAAGCATTTGTACCAGGATGTCCCTTGGTACACGTTCATCCACTGGAGTCTAATCAGCCTATCTAGAGTCACTCCCTTAAATATCTACTCTCCCTCACCCCACAGTAATCGTTTGCCAATGATTCCTCAGCTAGGGTTGGGGTCTGATAACTTTTTACATTTCTTTCTCCAACACCATATAGGTCAAACAAGAAAAACCCACTGGGCGCTTGATCCATAACTGTAGGTAGAAAATGTATTTTTATTCCTCCTCTGAGGAAAGAAAGGATCCCAGATACAGCTTTTCCCTTTAGCCAAACATGAATGTAAAATTGTTGTACTTTTAATAGTTAAGAGAGGGGGGTTAAGATTTTGAGATTTTCCTCCCTTAAAACATTAGGTTTCGGCCTTCTGATTTTACCTTTTGTGCCTATTATTTTCAGTTCTGACCAGTTATTAGTCTGCCTCACTTCCAGCAGAGTGGCACTGTGGGCATAATGGATCAAAGAGAGAGAGAGAGAGAGAGAGAGAGAGACAGAGAGACAGAGAGACAGAGAGACAGAGAGACAGAGAGAAAGAGAGATTCACATCCGCATTGCTTTACAGAAGCTTTTAAAAGCAAGTCATAGTGATGACACAGGCCTGTAATCCCAGCACTCAGGAGACTGAGGCAAGAGGATCATAAGTTTGAGGCCAGCTTGAGCTACATAGTGAGACTGAATTAAAATATAAGTAGATAACTAAATAAATAAACAGTATATCACAAGTTAGAGTGAGCCTTGGTCTAGATTAGGTTTGTTAGCTTTTATAAATACCATACAGATACCATTATTAAATCTGCTTCACCCAGATTTGGGATGACATTGGTGATCTTGGGTTTACACCTGTTTGAGAGAGGATTTCCCTTGAACTTCACCTTCATTATTGAAATGGATACTATGAAGCTGGGTAGGTAGAGCACAGGCAGCTAGGTAGAGTCCTAGGCTTCAGTCAGCCAAAAAAAATAAAATTACCAAAATGAGATGTAGCAGTCAGCATAGTTAAGATAGCATAAAAATCCATCCATCTGGAAAGATCCTGGTTTCCATCAAACTGTAATGTTTACTACCTGTGTCTTTAGAGTGCCTAAACTTCAGTTTCCTGAAGTAAATGAACGTAATTCTTGCTGCAAGTTTGTCATATGATAAAGCAGCTTTTACAAAGCATGAAGAGTAGAATTGTAGGCGTGCTGCATGCCTCATGGGGCGTGGGGTTCGAGTGGTTAGACTAAAATCTGTAGCTAGAGGCTCCAATTTGATGATCTTCGCTACCAGTCTCTTTGGGGGACTGAGGATGAATCTCAATCGTAGAATACCTGCCTACCATGTTCAAGGCTCTGTGCTCAACCCCCGGCATTGAAATAAATGAATAAATAAATAAATAAATAAATAAATAAATAAATAAATAAATAAACTTTGGTAAAGAAACTAATCTCATCTGAACACTTGCTTAATATCCTCTGAATTAATCTGGGTATTCATGGACCATTTACTTAAATGGTGAGAAGTTACAGGTGATAAGCACTGTAACTGAGGTTTAAAATACTTAGCATCCCCCTTGCAGCTTTAGGGACGGGGAAGACCTCCTGATAAATTTCATATTGTTCAGTCTATCCCCAAAAAGTATAAAGAACTGAATTTTTAAAGACTCTTTACTCGAGTTATTTTAACTAAAGGAACATTTGGTACTGAAGGAATGTTTTCAAAATGTTTATACCTTTTCAGTAGCCAAATTCACATGACGGGCCCACTCAACCTGTAAAAGCAGGAAGAACATCCTGACAACACTTGGCTACCTTAGGAAGCATTTTTTCTGCCAAAATATTGTCTGTAAAAAATACACTCTTGCTTTTAACAACCTCCTTTCCATCCACTACATGTGTGCCTATCCATATCTCAAGAATGTGACCACTTCCCACTGCATCAGAGGAGAGGAGCCAGCATCCATCCTGAACACTGAGTCCTACCCAGGGCAGGAAGAGGCCTCTCCATGTGCTGCCAAGGCCACTGCAGCCTTCTGCACTTAGAGGTACACACACACACACACACACACACACACACACCTGCATATGTTCTCACTCATATACATGCATGTTTATACACACACATGTATTTAAAAGCAAGTCATGGGAATGGAGAGATAGCTCAGCATTTAGGTGTGCTTGCTGCTCTTAACTGGAGTTAGGTTCCCAAAACTCACACCAGACATCTTACAACAGCCTATAATTCCATCTTCAGTTCACACACACACACACACACACACACACACACACACACATGCATAGTCACACACATATATACATGCATAAGCTTTGTTAATGGTGATGGTGATGGTGGATTTGGGGTGTTTTTTATTTGGTCATCTATCTTTTCTGTTTTCTACAATGAGCATATACAGATGTTACAATTTATAAAATACACTAGTAATGAGAACAAACAACATTTTCATTGAGCATTTGATCACACACAGGGTAAAATATCAAACGGTAAAGGAAGGATCCTCCTGAGAAACCATGGTCCCCCCTCTTCCTTCCTTGATCTACTTAACCAGTTGAGGCCACCTCGGAGCCTGTTCTGTAGTTGCTGAACCATCTTAGCTGCCCTATATTTTGTATTTGAAAATGACTTACTAAATTGTCAACATTTAAAATATCAGAAGCTGTTATATAAAAATAAAACTTTTGGCCATTTTGCAAATAATCAGAAGATTCTTGCACATCATTTACTGTGGCTTCCTATTCAAGTGGATAGCAGTGTCTCATTGTGCCATAAACCATACCTGATCCTGTTTTGTCTAATTCTGGATTCATCAGGCTGGTTTATATCATCTTCCACTCTCTACTCAGCTGAATTTATGACTTCTGTCCATATGTTAGGCTGGTGTTCCTGCTTCCTGATGTATCATACTCAGACAGCGGACTGCTAGCTAGATAAGGCTCTAAGTTGTTGATCTCCGTGTCCCCAGTAAAATCATTGCAACCAGTTTTAGATGGCATTACTTTTCTTTCTTTCTCATTGCATAGAGGCAGTTTCCTGGGAGACCTTCTTTTAGGGCAAAGCTACTTATTGCCCCAAACTTCAGCTCTTCTCTCCTCCTCCATCTCCCAACTTCTGTCACTGTGACTTATTATTTCCATTTTGTAATTGCCAAAAAAACTTAATCTTCTATAACAGAAATTAAGTGTCTCATACTATGTCCATGGACTGATTGACAAAATTTAAAGATCAAAGATCAAATTCCATTTATGTTCTGTGAACTTATCTATATTGTTCACAGTAGATCTAAGTGATAACACTATATATTTATGTGGTTTTTAAATATTTTATTTATTATCTTTACTTTATGTGTATGAATGTATTATCTGCATATGAATAAGTGCACCCATGTTATGTAGTGCCCGTGGAGGTCAGAAGAGGGTGTTGGATCCCTTGGAACTGGAGTTACAGTCATTACCCATCATGTGGGTGCTGAGAATTGAACTAAGATCCTCTGCAAGAGCAGCCAGTGCTCTTAACCACTGAGCCATCTCTCCAACCCCTTACTTACTTTTTAGAAACGAGAATTATTTATTTTCATTATATGTGCATGAGTGTTTGCCTACATGTCTGTATGTGCAGCACATGTATGCTTCGTGCCTAGAGAGGCCAGAAGAGAATGGAAGACTCCCCTGGAAGTGGTAGTTAAGAACCACTGTGTGTGTGCTGGGAACAGAACCTGAATCCTCTACAAGAGCGGCAAGTGCTCTTACCACTGAGCCACCTGTCCAACCCTTACTTTTTAATTTTTTTACAACCTCTTCTCCCTGTGCAGTTTCTACCTTCCTTTATTGGTTTCCATCCACTATCTAATTTGCATAGCCTTTATTATCTTTACATTTTCCATCTAGTCCAATATCTTATCAAGTCTTTCCCTCCACGATCTCTCTCCCTTTTCCCCCGTTCAGAGCTCCATTCAGTGTTGGAGGGTGAAAAAGTGCCACTGATTCTTGAGCCGGTTTCAGTGGTGTCTGGACCCAAACCTCTCCTTTCTTGGTTTATTCTTTTATTTTCGTGTAGCTCATGCTCAGTTTACATTTTCAGGAAAATGAAGTGTTAAGTGAGAATTAAATTTTCAGAACAGTTTCAGTCTGGAAATGTCTTTATTTTGTTCATAAACAGAACTAAGAACTTTGCTGAGATATTGAATTCTGAATCACTAATTTTTCTCCCTTGAAACACTAAATGTTTTATGCTCCTGTCCAGCGAGACGTCTATTGAAATATTTTAATATCTATTTCAGTGTTCCATTCCTTTGTGAATGCACTGCTTCCTGAACTTTCTGGAAGTCTTCTGACCCTTGTAAAATTCTTAATATCTGAAGCTTTGCAAAATATGCTTAGCTGCCATCCTCTTTTTATTATTTATTGACAATTTCATACATATATATAATGAATTTTGGTCATTTTCACCCCTCCTCATTACCTTTTCTCATCCCCCTCCCTCTCAGGATGAAACCCTTCTTCCTAACTAATCCCCCTCTACTTTCATATCTGTGTGTGGTAGTGGTGATGGTGGTGGTGGCGGTAGCTGTGGTGGTAGTGGTGGTGGTGGTGGCAGTAGTGGTGGTGGTATGTGTTCTACTGAGTTTAATTAGGGTTTCTTGCATGAAAATGGGTGGGATGTTATTTACTAGAACATGGGCAACTTACCAGTGGCAACACCACTGGAAAAAAAATGGCACCCTTCCCAGGAAACATTAACTGCCATTAGACCCTTAGGGAGGAGTAGAGCCTCAAGGACCACTCTCCTCCCATCTCTGATGAAATGGTGATGGACCCAGTCTTGTGCAACTCTTGTGCAGGAAACCACAGCTTCTGTGAGTTCATAAGTACAGTGGCCATGCCAAACCCTGAAGACAGCATTCCACAGCACTCCTCCCCATCCTCCAGTTCCTTCATTCTTTCCATCATTTCCTCTGCAGTGTTCACTGAGTCTTGGAGAAAGTGATTTAGTTGCCTCATTTAGGGCTGAATGCTCAACAGTCGCTTGTTCTCAAGTACTTTGACCAAATATGAGTCCCCGAATTAACCACCACCCACTGCAAAAAGTCTGATCGAGGCTGACAACAGCACTGATATATGGCTATAAACATAAATATGTAAAAGGTAGTTTGACAACATAACCATTTAGCAAAACAAGAGTAGTAGGTCTCTGCCTTCCCCCCAGGGCCTATGACCTCTAACCATGGGCTTCTGGCTAGGTTTACTGTACTAGGTATTCCCTCCTATAGAGCAGGTCTAAAATCATGATCAGAAGGCAGTTGGTTATCCTGGTAACAGTCATGTCATTATTGCACCACTGGGCACTTCTTGTCTGGTAGGTTGTTAGCACAGTTCTAAAGGTTCACAGCTAGGTAAGGTTGTTGATGACTTTTTTCCCCTAGCAACTACCTAGCACCTGCCTAGCTCCTTCCAGTATTGCATAAGCTAGCCAGCATGGAGGAAGCTTTCTGCCCATTTCCATACTGATTTCTCTTTGCCCTACCACCAAAGTCTGTTGTGTCTTCAGCAGTAGGATCTCACCATCTAGCTCTGGTGGGAAACCAAGAGCAATGGCAATAGCTTGTATTGTTTTGAGGGGCTTCCCTGACCTCCCTGACTCATAGGGAGCTAGCCCAGGCCTAGCACTAGGGTTTTCATTTAATAATCTATGATTTCTGAGAGAAGAAGCATTACCCACAATGCAGGGTACCTCCTTTCAAAAAATTTAAATTGTGTTTTTAATACTCTTATAAAATATTAGGCTTCTCTATGACTTCTTCATACATCCTTGGTTTTGGTTAATCCCCCAATCCTCTTGTCTTCCCTACCCACCCCCATTACCACCGCCACTTAAAACTCTCCACCTCAAGCATATCTCCCTCTGTTTTCATATCACATGTGTTCTAATAGCACATTCTTTTTTCAGTTATCCAATATGCTTAACATGAAGAATTATTTTCTTCAGCTTTGGAATACTATTTTTTTCTTTTTTGGCAATCTCTCTTCTGTTTTCTTCTAAATCTTATCTTCCGTAATCCACATGGACTGGATCCTGGGCCTCCCAACTTTGTCCTCTGTTTTCTCTCCCCTTTTTGTCACTGTACATTTCTTTGGGTTTTCTGGGAGATTTCTGAAGCTTTGCATTAATGTGCTTAGCTGCCAAATTCATCCTTTTCCTCCCAACTTGAATCCGTTATTGTTTATATTAATAGTAAAATGATGGTAATTTCCGAAATGGTTTTGCTCCCTCTTCCTCTTTATAAAATCCTATTCTTGTTTTATAGATGAAACATCTTGGATCCCCCTGAGAATCTGAGGGCTTTTCATGTTGTTGTTCTTATGACCACTGAAATTCTCTCCCTTTTTCCCATGTCATTGTTTTCTTCTTATTTCCCTTAATCTAGGCTTTTGTTACCATCTTGTGTTCGTTCCTGTTCTGAAGAAAAGCTGATGATATAGTGCGCTGGTTGCATTCCTGAGCACACAGCAGCTGTGACCGCCTGCAAAAGACATACATAAGACACGCTGGAGGGGGGGGTTGTAGGGGAGCAAAGGGTCAGCAGGAATGGGAGGGGATAAGTGAATATTATGGGGTGGGGGTATACTGAAGACACGCTGAATACAAGTAAGAAACTATAAAAAATTTAAGACTAATTTTTTAAAGCTGATGCTATCTCTGGAGATGGGGCAGAACTGATAGAATTTATTGCTAAGATCAGATGAGCTATGCTGGAGGCATCCTGAGTGCTTGATGCCTGATCTCTGCTACCAACTTTCCTGCCTGGTGGCGCAGGTGCCTGGTAACTCTGCATTCTAGACACATGAGTGGAGATAGGTGGTGGGGACCAACAGGCTTCCCGTTTCCTCCTCTTTTCTGCCACTCTTAGTCATGCCTGATACGTCCAGGATCTCCAGTTGGCAGTTGATGGGAAGCTCTGCAAGCTGATAGTTTCCACTCGGGTGACCTGTGAAAGCCACAGCCTTCTCTGCCCTGCTCGGTCAGCACCATCTTCCATGATCTACAGGAATCTCTTACTCCTCAATAACCCCCTCAGATTCACAGGGTTCAAGGGGCTTATGCCTTTTGTAATTGCTTCCGAAGCATTTTAGAGAAGACCTGGGAAGAAGAGAAGGCGACAAGTGTGGTCATTCTGCCATCCTTAGGTGGATGGCTTACCCAGCTTGGCTGTGTAAGCCCAGAAATCATTATGCCTTAGTAATGGCCCACACGGCAGCTTGGACACCAGGATGTATCCAGAAGTATCTGTTGTGTGTCCCTGTGTTGTTATGTATGCAAATGTGTGCTCTGAAGATAACAGATGCCAGGTTTCTCTTATTCATTCTTTTTTAAATATTTTGTTTACTTTTTAAATTTTCTATGTTTGAATGTATTGCCTGCATGTGTGCAAGTGTACCTGTGTCATATAATGCCTGAGGAGGTCAGAAGAAGGTGTCAGATCCCCTGAAACTGGAATTACAGGTGGTTGTAGCCACCATGTGGGGGGTGGGAAGCTAACATGGATCCTCTGCAAGAGCAGTTAGTGCTCATAACCCCTGAGCATCTCTCCAGCCCCCACCCCTTCGTGATTTTAATAAATTTAGAAAAAAACTCAAAACTATGGCTTTTCTCAAAACATTTCTATCCAAGACTGGAGAGGTGGCTCAGCGTTAATAGCACTGACTGCTTTTGCAGAGAAGTCACTTGGAGGCTAACAACCATCCATAACTCCAGTTCCGGGAGATCTGATGTGCTCTTCTGGCCTCTGTGCCCATTGCAACCATGGGTATGCTTACATACATGCAGGCAAAACAAAAACACTCAACCACATAAAATAAAAACAAATAAAAGAAGTTTTAAAACCTTCCTACCCTTTTTGATAATTGGAGAAAACAGGTGAAGTTTAGTAGAAGTTCCAGCCAAGGAAGGAGTTGGGTGGCAGAGAGCCTGGCATCAGCCCAGGGCAGCACGTACTGTCAGTGGTACTCCCAGGCCACCCTGGGTCCTACAGCCAGATGCTTACTTCCCGCTGTGATGTACTTTTGCTTCTCATAGCAGTGCCTGTGCTACTTTGTTAGGTTACTGGGCCCTCCTTTCCCCAGCACAAGGAGAGGTGGAACTTTCACTCCTTCCCCTTTCCCCATGTCCGTCTCACCTCATTGCCTTTGCTGGAGTTGGAATGTGGAAACTCGGAGCTCTCTCCTTTGGACCAGCCTCTCTAGGCTTCCCTCTCATGTTGCAGGATAAAGCTAAGATTGTTTCTTGGGTTCTGAAGAACTCACCCCTCAATTGGCTTTCCTTCCTCCCCCTTCCCTGCTGTCCTTAGGCCTTGACCTTCCTCTACCAGCATTTCCTTCAAAATCACCTTCTAGTGAAGTCTTGTCTCAGGAGCACTAGAGGTAGCTTGGGCTGGACTCACTGACTGACTCCGTGTTCCTTCCTAAACAGCACCTTAACGAAAATCTGGCAAAGCTCACCGCCAAGTTTGAGAAAGCAACGGCTGAGAAACTCAAGTGTCAGCAAGAAGCTGAAGTGACTGCAGGCACCATCTCCCTTGCAAACCGCCTGGTGAGTCTGAGCTCTAATTCTATTAGCAGCACTTGTCAAGTGCTCCAGAGGTGTGAATAGATGAGCACAGCTCTGGGAAGCATTGACTCCCCTTGGGGAGGGGCTCATTAAAATGTGCAAAGATGAAGGGACTGTGGCCTCAGAAGTCTGGATACTTACTCTGGTCTGTTCAAGCCCTCTTCATAAGGAGGTGATTAGATGGAAGGACACATTGGGTCTACTAAACAGCGGGTACAGATGTGGTCATGTTTGTGTGGATGTGCATGGACCAAAGGAGCTAGCATCTTATGGGGCCTTATCCATGGGATATTTGATGGTGTAAGGTGGGGGATTAGGAATTGAGAAACAGAAAAACATGAGACTGATTGACCCTGAGCATTTCCAGATGTGAACTTATCCATCCATTCACATGTATGAAGAGAAAGGAGAGAGAGAGAGAGAGAGAGAGAGAGAGAGAGAGAGAGGCTCTCTTGAAAAAAGAAGTCTAAAGCCAGGCATGATGGTGCACGCCTTTAATCCCAGCACTCAGGAGACAAAGGCAGATGGATCTCTGTGAGTTTGAGGCCAGCCTGGTCTACATAGTGAGTTCCAGGCCAGCTGGGGCTACAGGGAGACCTTGTCTCAAAAATACCAAGAAAAAGAAAAGAAAAAAATTAAGTCTAAATGTCAGGGCAAGCATATTTATTTTAGGGTGTCTTTTGCTATGTAATTAATTATCCCCCAAAGTACCCCAAGGGCCAGTGCAGATATGCCATCCATGGTCAGAGAGAGGAGGGAGCTGACTGAAGGTGGGGTAGGACCAGAAGGAGCACTGAAGGGTTAAGCAGGTTTTTCTCCTCCTAATTTGCTTGCTGGGATCCTGTTGGAGGGCTTCACGGTACACCCTGTGTATATGATTCTCACTGATAATGCTTTCTTTCTTTCTGTTACATAAGAGTGTTAGAAACCAAACTTTGGGGTTGGGGGAGTAACCATTCCACGGTATTTCACAAGTCTTAGAGCCAGGAATTTCAGTGTTTTTCAGCCATAAGACTGGTTTGGAGAATCCATGATTTCTTTCTTCACCTGCCAAAGACCTTGACAGGGAAGGCAAAGTGGACTCAGCAGGGCCTCTCTTCCTTTCCATGAAGTCTCTCTAGTAGAATCATCAGATATGTTCCATCCCATCCCAGGACTTTGCAATCAAGTACTCTAAAAGAGGAGGTAGACTAGAACCTGGGACCAAAATCCAGCACAGTCTGCCTTAGTCTATCAAAGTAGTCCCAAATTCAAGGGGAGGGAGTTACAGAGCAATTCTTTTTGTCTTTTGTTTGCTTTGTTTTGTTGAGATAGACTCTCACTCTGTAGTCCAGGCTGGTCACAAACTCCTCATCCTCCTGCCTGACCGCTGCTCCCCCACACCCACCCGAGTGCTGGGATTACAGATGTGAGCCACCACACCTGGCTTTGGTATCAACTCTTGATAAGAGGAATGTCAAAGACCTTTTAAATCCTCCTGGCTTGCATTTTGCATCACATTTATCACCCAAGACTGCAAAGCAGTGTCTATTGGCTGTGATTTCTCTTTATCTAGCATCTTCCCCACATCACCCTCACCAAAGAAGGGAAATACAATCTATTCCTTTTCATATTTATTTTATCTGCAAAGTATTTACACAATGCAGCCAGATTTCTTTTAGTTTAGGGAGCAGTGACATCACAGCCACCACTAGACTGAGCCTGCTGTGGTGAAGACGTTAGTTCACATGTGTGTCTCTGCTGTTATGGGAGGGACTGGTCACTGCACAGCCTTGAGATGATCTATTTCACCAATCCATTTGGTTCAGGAACAGCATCCTGCAAATATGCAAGAAACCACCCAAACCTGGCTGCCTGTTTGTCTTCTTGCTGGGCTTCCCAAACTCAGCGCAGCCTTCCTTACCAACTGGAGCCTTCTCCACGTTCAGTCCCACCAGAGACTACCAGTTGGGGTGTATAAGCGCTAAAGCTACTTCTGTCTCTACCAACAGAGCATCTGGGGAGATACTTGGACTTTACTGTTCTAGTCTAAGGGTGGGACAGAGAAGGGGTGAGTTGGCAAACCCCTCCCGGCTCTGCCAGACCTGACAATATATGATCCATTTATTCAAGGAAAATATGAGGGCTAGTCCCAAGACAGAAGCTATGTTCCATCATATACCTTCCAGTACTCCATAAAAAGGATGGCTCCCTAAAAGTAGGGGTGCCATCTGCAAGTGGGATGGGCCAGTCCAAATGTGTTGTGACATCCCTGGTACTTTGTATACATCTATGTACATAGCCCCTAATACTTTGTATACACTTATATACATATATTTCCTATCACTGCCTTAATTACCACCTCTGTCTTTCCACCCACTTTGAATTATTTAAGGCACATGGATTTGACTTTATTTTCATGTCTCTAGCATTTAGGGAGGAGAAACAAGAGATGTCTAATTTCCTAACATGTCTTATAAACAAGGCATTGTGCTAAATGATAAAACACAATTGTATTCAACATAGCCACCTCCACACGTAGAAGGCAGAGCCCAGCAGCCTGCCTTAAGAACCTGGCATTGTTCCACAACCCACATGATGCCCGACACAGAACAGACCCTATGTGCTGGAGTCTCAGCTGCAGTGGGACAAATCCCCGCTGATGGGAAGGGCTGTATAATGGTGTCCTGAGCATTGCTACCATAGACGTGCAGCATGTGACCTCTGTGAATGAGTCCTCAGCACTGTGGCCCGCCATCTGATACTTCTCTCTGCCTTTGGAATGGTAGGTTGGAGGACTCGTTTCTGAAAATGTAAGGTGGGCTGAAGCTGTGCAGGACTTCAAACAACAGGAAAGGACGTTGTGTGGAGACATTCTGTTTACTACAGCTTTCATTTCCTACTTGGGTTTCTTTACAAAAAAGTACCGGCAGAGCCTTGTGGATGGGACCTGGAGACCCTATCTGAGCCAGCTGAAAGTATGTATGGCCTGGATTTGTCCTGACTGTGTCAGCCTGTAGGTACCACTGGCATTATATGACCGCCATAACTCAAACCTTCCAGGGCCCCTTGTGTACCCACTCCCAATATCTCCTGAGCACAAGGCATGGAACATATGCACTCATATCCTTCCACACTGCATTGTGGTCCTCTATGCTCTAAACCACCTAGAATCTTGCCTTTTAATGAGTTTCTTGTGGGAACTCCATGCTCTGATCCTTTGGTAGACTCTGCCTCCTGGCTCTCCTCAAAGTGGTAAGAGACCAAAAGACCTCCCTTCTGGAGAGCAAGTTAAAAGCAGTGGAGAAGGCCCCTCTCTGATCTTCACAGCTTACTTTTGTTGGGTCCCAAAGCTGCACACTTTGCACCCACAGCTATGAAAACAACTTTGTCCACCATGCTGAGATACTCTTCCCATGGGCTGTGCAGCCTGCCCTGTCCCTGTAACTGAGTGTATTTTATTCCCAGACCCTTCCTCTGTATCTCTCCTCTCAATGTAGTGAAGTAAGGAAACGTTGGCTGGTGAGTAAAAGGAATTCCAAGCCACATCTAGATCCACAGTCAAAATAATTTCTAACATTCCCATGGTACAATCTCATCGCTCCTGCTCATCAGTCCCTAAACACTGACTAAGAATTCAGAGTGTCCCCTGTGCCACATCACTGGACATACAAAAGACAGGCCAGGTCTGCATGCCTTCAGCACATTCACAGTCCAGTGAGAATGATTAAGTCTATAGACTTCAGCAATGGGAAGAGTGAGCCAAAGTTCACATCATGTGGGAGTGTATTCCAAAGTCCACTCATAACTATATCCTTAAAATGAAGAATGTGTTTTGTATAGTGATGGCTGTTTTCCAAAATCAGTTTATAAGGTCCTACCTACTTGATAATTTGATAGACAGTGGTTTTAGGTTACAATACTAGGACTAGCACAGGCACTAGTTAAACTTTTTAGCAGCACTAGTTATGTTAACTAGTTGGAAGAAGGAAATTGTTGAAACAACTATCAACAAGATGGGTGGCTCAGTAGCAGTATAGGGAGGGTTTTCTGGCTTTGTTTGGGATTCACAATCATTTTCATGCCACAAGACTCCTTTGGTGGTGTTTTAGCCTATTTCCAGATGCTATAACAGGATACTGGAGATCATGTGGTTTGGTCCATGATTCTACAGTCTGGTAAGCCTGCTGAAGGACTCTGTGTCATGCCATTCTATGCCAGAAGGCAGAAGAGAGGCCAAGAGCTGGAGAGAAAGATAGGCCCAAACTCACTGCTGTGACTCACTCTCACGGGAAGTCACTTACTCCCATTTTACCAGTGGAAGTCCATTTACAGAACAGAACCCTCATGACCTACCCATCAGGGATTAGGTTTTCAACACCTATATCTTAGGGAATACATTCAAACCACAGCAGGCAGTCTGGTAAAGCCTATGTATCCCAGAATAATGTTTTTATGTATAAAATTACAAAGAAAATATATTGAAACACATTTCTGTTTTGTTTTGCTTCGTTTTCTGTTGTCACTATATAGCCCAGGCTTGCCTCACACTCACAGTTCTTGTGCTTAGGCCTCCCAAGTACTGGAATTATAGGTGTGCACCATAATGTCTGACTACATCAAGCTACTCAAGGGAAATCAATCAGTTCCTTGAGGGTTCTTATCCTGAGATCAGAGTTGTGTTTCAAGCTGGACATGGTGACACAATGCATATAATCCCAGCACTCAGGAGACTGAAGCAAGAGGATCATGAATTCAAGATCAGCCTGAGCTACATAGTTAAGACCTTCTCACAAAAAGAGCTTGCTTCATGCTACTGCATGGGATGTTTGTTCCTTTTGTATACACAATTAAACTTCAGTTGTCCAACCTTTTGGCATTGTGACACAATGCTATAACCTACAAAGTTCATACTGTAGAACCATGTGGTTGAGGTACAAAAAATGGGTTTCTACTAGGCTAACCTAGGACTCAAGCAGCCAAAGGGCTGCAGCTCAGACATGGCCAAAGGAACAGAAAATGACTCAAAAAGTTTTCCTGAGGTAACTGGGAAAAAAAACTGAAAAAACAGCAAGACAGAAGGTCTAAACGACATAAGTCTAAACCTCAAAAACATTATACTAAATGGAAGTGACCAGATATCAAAGAGCACACCTTGTATGACTCTATTTTTATTAAATACCCAGAATAAGAAAATCCATAGAGACAGAAAGCATATTTGTAATTGCTAGAAGCTTGGAGTGGAGAGGCACAGGGAGAAGCTGTTTAATGAGAAGAGCATGAGGTTTCCTTTTGCCTGGGAGAGGATGGATCGAGCTGATGGCTGCACAACACTGGATGTGGCAAACACCACCGAGCTGTGCACCTTACAATGGTCCATTTTAGGTTGTGTGAATTTTACCTCTTTTACAAAGTGTACGCCATCAAAGAAAAAGATTATTTATAGAAGGAGTAGGTGAGTTGGGAGAGGCCAGAAGAGAGGGAAAGGAAGGGACCCCACACCCCTGAGGGGACACAGAGAGGAATGGATAGGGTTCTTGGGACTGTGCTCCCCTGCTTCCCAGCAGTCCCCAGCAGCCCAGTTTTCCCGGGGGGGGGGTGGCTGTGAGCAGCCTGGAAGAGAAATGTGTGTAGCAGGGGAAAATATGGCCCCCAGCCCCTTGCAAGCTGGTAAATAGGTGAGGGAGCAGTTTGTTCAGGCTGGTACTGACGTGATAAACAGAGAAGTGTTGTAGAGAAATAGATGTCCACATGGTTGGAGCATTATAGAAAAAGACATAAATAATCAGCTTGGCAAGACAGCTCTGTCTCCAAACTGGACTACCTGATTCGCTGGTGGAGATCCACATAGTGGAAAGAAAGAACTGACTCCCAAAGTTACTTCTCTGACCTCCACACATGTGCCATGACACTGGCAACTCACACACATATATACACATGTATGCACACATAAATACTTTTTAAATAAAGAACATAAATAAGTTATAGAAGAAACTTGATTCAAATGAACATACTAAAGAGCAAAGGTCGGTCACACACGCTGAACTTATGTGGGGAAAAAATCACTATCAAAACCTCAGGCAAACCTTCTCCCAGAAATAATCACACATCCAGAAAAGCACCTCTCGGGGATGTTGGTCGTGGTTTCAGAGGAATTATGTCATGTAGTGAGAGACTGGATTCTCCCCCACAGAAACAGTATTTTTTTTTCATTCAGAGTGTGTCTGTCACCTCTTCATCAGGTTCCCATCCCAGCCACCTTGACGCTGGACCCCCTGAGGATGCTGGCCGATGATGCTGATGTGGCTGCCTGGCAGAATGAGGGGCTTCCTGCAGACCGCATGTCAATGGAGAATGCCACCATCCTTATCAACTGTGAGCGCTGGCCGCTCATGGTCGACCCTCAGCTGCAAGGCATCAAATGGATCAAGAACAAATATGGAGAGAACCTCCAGGTCACCCAGATTGGTCAGAAAGGGTAGGTGACTCGGCATGCAAGTTGCCACCATTGCCATTTATGGAGCAGACTTAAGCCCTGGTGGCTTATTTCTCCTCCCCTGACCTCTCCATCAGGTAGCCCTCCTGATTTCTTCTGATTTTCCTCTCTGTTTAGGAAGTGTTTGAACAAAAGATATTTGGGTACCCACTCCATACTCTTCTTTTTCATTAGAAATCATATGTCATCAGTAGGGTGACTGTAGCTCACAATTTATCATTCATCTTATAACTGGAAGAGAATCCAAAGGTTTCCAACTCAAAGAAATGTGTTTAAGGAAATGAAAATTGCATTTATCCTAATCATTGCATAAGATACATATGTGTCAAATTATCACTCTATGCCCTATAAAGATGTACAACTATTATATGTCACATAAAAGGATGTTGTCCTGTCTTTACTTATTCAGGGATCCATTCTCAGTCCCTGGAGTTCATCTCTGTGATGGTTAATATTCATTACCAACTTGACAGCATGTAGAATCAGCTAAGAGACAAGCCTCTGGGCATGCTTGTGAGGGATTGCCTTGATTAGGTTAGCCTCTGGCCAGATCTGTGAGGGATTATCTTGATTAAGTCAATTGGGATGGGAAAACCCACCCTAAAAATGGGTGGCACCATTGCCTGGGTTTGGGTCCTGGACTGTATACAAAGGAGAACGCCAGCTGAACACAAGCATTCATCTACCTCTGCATTTTGACTGTGGATGAAACTTGGTCAGCTGCCTCAAGTTCCTGCCTCCAGGATGGCCACGAAAGACTGTACCCATGAGCCAAGATAAACCCTTAAGTTGCTTTTGTCAGAGTATTTAATCACAGCAACAGGGAAAACAACAAAGGCACCCCTCCAACTCTGCTTTCTGCCTCTAAAACATTCCATTTTCAAGTCAGGCAACTTGTTTTGTTTTGTTTTTACTCATAAGATGACTGCTGTGTTTGTTTTATTTTTGAGACGGGGATTGATAGTTAGCCCATGCTGCCTTTGAACTCACAACGATCGTCCTGCATCTTGAGCATTAGGATTACTGTTACGCACCACCAAACCTGGCCAAACAACTCTGCTTTACAAAGTCTGAATATTCAGTGAAATACTGCTGTTCTTACCTCTACTCCACCATTGCTCCTGCCTCTGCCCCGGAGCCATGTGGGCCACACATCTTGTACAGCTTCTGAGCCAGCTAAGAAACTTCCAGAGTTCCTTCTGCCTGCCACCTGGCTTTGTATATATGTGATGAGGAGGTTACTCCATGAAGGATACGAATGGCAGAGAATATCCAGCCAGTGCCCACCATGCCTGCCAGGCCTGGGCCTCAGCACCCCACACCCCATCATTAGCCCTGTTACAGCCTAGCTGTGCACTCTCAGCACTCGGCTCTTATTCTCTGCTAGGAAAAACAGGATGGAACACTAGCACAGGAGAAGCGAGGCAGACATTGTGTGTTATAGGGGTGATATGTGCAAGTGTTGATGTTACAGGTGCTACCTAAAATTCCTTCCTTAACCCACACATTGGTTCTTCTTCGCTTTAAGGAAACCGAGGTTCACACATGTAAAATAAATTTTCCAAGAGTGCATTTGTGAAACTGGGTGTGGTAATGCACACCTGTAATCTCAGAACTCAGGAAACTATGGCAAGGGGATCAAGAGTTCCAGGAGTTTAAGGGCACCCTGTGCTATACAGGAAGCCCTGTATCAAAAAGCCAAAAAACTGAAATAATAAGTAAAAGTGATGGATATTTTATGCTCACATGTACAGTAGCCAAAAGTGGAAGCAACTTAAGTACATCATAGAAGAAGAGGTAAAAAAAAAAAAAAAAAAACTACATACATGCAATGGAATATTACTCAGACTTGAAGAAAATTCTGAGATATGTTACAGCATGAACAAATCTTAAAGATTTTGCTTCATGTGTCACTTGATGACAGGGATAGATTATGATAGATGCATTGTTAGGCAGTTTTGTCATGGAAGCATCTGAGAGTATCCTTAGACACTAAAACAACTTTGATGTCACTAAACAAAATAACCATATGAGACACTGTTATATATGAAGCCCATCACTGAAGTTTTGTTAGATGGCACATATTTTCACATTATTTTTCTTAAAGTATTGGTGACAATATTTGAACCCAAGTCATTCTCACTTAGAAACCTAAGACTTGTCCACCCAAGCACATGGCCACCAATGTGACATCACTGCTCTGGCCATCTTTCTCTAACATGTTCCACAAGAGGTCCAGGTTATGTATGGCTGTTTAAGTCAAAGATGAGTGTCAGAAGTAATAGGTAAATAAAATGAATACAGCCTGAGAGTGTCTGAATCTAGCCTCCTCTTGACTGAAAAGGTCACAGATCTTAGAGAAAACCCCAAGGTTGTCATACCCCTAGACAAATGTAATTTCTTACTATGTGCAAAATATGAATCCTTACACTTACAGACAAGTATCCAAGTCACCACTCATCAAAGAACCTTCTTTTGCAACAGACGGAGACTATTACAGAGTTCCACATCTGGTCACACACAGACATTGTTTGTGAATTGCACAAGCCTAAGTGGCACATCTACGATGCAACCTCTACACCTGAGGCTCATGGAACATAGAACAAGGGGTAAAGAGGACACTAATGCATCTCTCAGTGCTCATCAATGAAGCTCCCACATACAATACAGGGCCAGGAACACAAAAGGCCAAAGCATAGAGAATAATAGTCTGCACAGTGTGGGTCCTTGGACAGGACTCTTATGTTAAACTCCACCCACCCAGGGCTCAAGGACCACTGTGGAAGAAGGAGCAGAAAGACTGTAAGAGCCAGGGAGGAGATGCACAACCATATGGAAATAGAGTCCTACAGGCTCCTGGAACCCTGCTCATATGAATCTATAACAATGGTGCCAGCATGCACAAGACCCGTGCAAACTCAAGCAGATAAAAACCCAACACAGAACTGTGGAAATGGACAGCAGGCCCCAATCTTAGTCGAAGAATTACTGGCAGTTCATTACTGCTGGGTGAGGAAGAGCTGATTTTAAAGCAAGGGACTCTAGATAAGCTAACTAAACCTCAGTAGATGAACTTGCACTGAGGGACATCTGGGGACACTAACTTGACACTATACGCCTTAACACAAATGACAGAATGTATGAATTCCTGAATTCCAGTGGCGACGGGGGGCCCTACAGGAGGGTGCCAATGGAGAAGGGGGTATAAAGATGATTAAGATGTTTTATATGAAATACACAAGAATTCAATAAAAATTTAAAAATAAATAAAAATAAAGTGAATACTAAAGTCCCTGAAATGGACCCCTCTCACAGAGCAAATCTGGGAAAGAAAAGAACACCCAGTTGTAACATGATGTATTTCCACCTGTGTCCTAATCACAGAATAAGGCAACTGTAACCTTCTCCTCCAACTTTGATTAAACTGCCCTTTCTAGTTGCCTAAAGCATGTAGACAGAAGTCTGTGACCCTTTGATCATTGCTATGTCAACCCCTGAAACACAGCCTGCATAGTGTGGTCCTTCAGTAAATATTTGCTCAATTCATTATTCATGTCCATTGACAGCTCTTGCAGAAGACTCTGGTTCTATTCCCAGCATGCATATTGGGCGGCTCACAACTGCCTATAACTTCAGCTCCAGAGGATTCAATAACCTCTTCTGGCTTCTACAGATACCAGTAGACATACATACTCATACACACACACACACACACACACACACACACACACACACACACACACACACACACACACACACACATACACACACACACACACACACACACACACACACATACACACACTCACACACATAAACACACACAGACACAGACACACACACACTCACACATACACACACCAATAAAAATGAGATAAATCATTTTTTAATAACAGGGATAAGAAGTTACAAAAGCACAGAAAACTAAAATCTACCTTTCAAAATCACTGCTAACTTACGGTGCGTGGTGTCCTTTCGATTCCTTTCTATACATCTGTATAACTGAAATTATGCAAGTCTTTTGATATTAGATGATATGAGCCCCTCCTTATCTTCACTGTCATTTCCTTACCAGCCTCAATGTTTTCTTTTTAGTTAACTTCAAAATTTTTGTTCAAGTTCTATAGTTTTATTGTTATTTTTGTTTGATTTAGAATTAAATCAGCCTCATAGACTGATTTAGTGAAAACTGTGAATTATCTAATACTGAAAAGTTAAAGTAACCTATTTTTAGTAATTAGTTGGCAAATAAATTGCAATATGTAAGCATAATCTAAAAGCCAGTCATTGAAAACTACTGTAGGAAGTCGTGGCCACAGAACCAGACCTGGCAGATGCCCCTCAGGACTCCCTTCAGTTCATTGAGCTTTTCATGGAGTACTTCATGTATCTTGGACACACATTCTAAAGGGCTCCTGGCCCCAGACAGTGTTTGTTTCAGCTTGTCTCTTGTCACCCAATAGAAGTGGATATTTGTTTGGGTTTTTTTTATTGAGCTTTTTAAATTTCATATAACATTTCCCATTCAAATCCAGACCCCTTCCCCCATCTATGCCCCCCCATCCTCGCATTGAACTCTATGCACTCTGCCATACATGCTGAGTCCTATTCAAATGCATCCACTGGAGTCTAGTCCAGTGGTCGTATGTAAGTCATACTCTCCCTCACCCAGTAGCAGTCAGTCTCAGATAGTTCTGAATCTAGTGCTGATCTGTCACCTATTTCTTACCTCCCCTTTGGGCTCTTGTTTATTTGAGCTGACAAGGGTCCCACGCTCAACACCACTGCTTCCACAGGCTTACATGAGCAAGCCTCCAGTGGCCTGGAAGCCTCCACTTCCCTGTGTTCATGAACCAGCCCTGGCTCTTAGAATCTTTCCACCTCCTCTTCCACAATGTTCCTTGAGCCATGGGTGGGTGAGGTTCCATATAGGACTTCCATCCTACTCTCAACAGTCTCTTATTCTCAAAAACTTGGCCAGTTGTGGCTTCTGTGTACATCGCACTCTGATGTACAAGAAAGCCTCACTGCTGAGAGTTAAGGGGTGCATTAGCCCGCTCTCTACCCCTAATTAGAAGTGGATATGTATAATGTATACCTTCTCAGTTCAAGGTAAGCAACCACCATTTCTGTATTTCGTAGAACAATTTTGACCTGCAGCAAAATTTATTTCCTTTCTCACACTCTTTTCCTTCCACTGAAAATATAGTTTAAATGGAGGCCCTATGGTAAAGTTGCAACATTAAATTTAGAATAATCTTCTCAACTAGGAACCCCAGCAGTGTTAACCCTCAGCAAAAAGGAGCCTGAGATTGTTTTCTGTGGCTCATATGGAGAAGCAAATCAAGTATTTCCTTTGCAAGAGTTTCCAAGTCCTAAGAGTTGGTGCCTTTTTAAATATTTATTTCTTCATTTATTTCTTGTGAGGGGGCAGTGAATGTGCCACAGCACATGTGTGGAGATCATAGGACAACTTCACCATATGGTTTCCGGGAATTGAAGTTGGGTGGTCAGACTTGGTGGCAGGTCCCTTACCCACTGAGTCATCTTGCCCCCAAGGTCTCTTTTACATTAAGAGTTTTCAGAAGTAACTCCCTTGTTGTTTGCTGATAATTTAATAAAAAAACATTTAAAAGTACATGTCTTGGAGGACTAGAGAGATAGCTCAGTGGTGAAGAGCGATTGCCACTCCTCCAGAAGAACCAAGTTCAGTTCCTAGCACCCATGTCAGTTGGCTTACAACCATGTGATGCCTTCCGGCCTTCATGGGCACATACATACATGTGTCGTATACATACACATAAATAAAAATAATAAAGATAAATCTTTAAAACCAAAGAACTCCAAAGTGAGATTTAAAAATAGCTATTTTGGGAGCTGGAGAGATTGCTCAGTGGTTAAGAGCACTAACTGCTCTTGCGGAGGACCCAGGTTCGATTCCCAGCACCCACAGGATAGGTAACAACCATCTGTAACGCCAGTTCTAGGGGATCTGATGCCTTCTTCTGACCTCCTCCGGCAGGAGTGCACTTATACACATACAAGCAATACACTCATATGCACAAAATAAAAATAATAAAATATTTAGAAAAAATAGCTGTTTTAAGGTTAGCCTATGGCACATATCAACTTCTCCTGTGTGCTAAATGGATAAATGGCTTATTTAACACGTGTAAAAAATATTTCAGAACATATTCAATGATTTTGGGAAATGTTTATAATACATTTTGTATAAAAATCTAGGTTATAAATCAAAGGTGTCATATGAATCCAACAATAAAAACTAAACTTGAAAACATAATGCCATTGGCCTTCTACATCTACAGATTGCACGGGAACCAAGCATCCATCAGAAATACTTGAAGGAACCATTGCATCTCTCCTGAGTTTGTGTAGACTTTCCCCCTGTCATTAATAATATTGCATGACAGCTATTTGCCTAACGTTATAGTGAATCAGCTATTATAATTAAAGTACATGGAAGGCCAGGTGCAGATTATATGAAAATATTACACCATTTCATATATTGAAGGGTATTGAGTACATGTTGATTTTGTTTCCCATGGGGTCTGGAACAAATCTCTTACAACTGCAAAGGGTCACCCAGTAATCAAATGGCCACAGTTGATTAAAGGTGGAAGTATTATGCTTAATTTTCCCTTTTTCCTTCCATTTTGTCATTTCTACCTATGTCTAAAGATTAAAAAAACAACGCACATAAATGTCATTTTAAGTAGAGAAAAATGTATCCACTTCCTAACAGCTGTGCCCCAACGCTCAGCACTGTGCCTTAGAAACCTCAGCGGTCTTGTTTGTTAAATTGCCCTGGAATCCATGCTTTGGCATGGGCTCACACTGCCTCACTTGCTCCCCCAGCTACCTTCAAACCATAGAGCATGCCCTGGAAGCTGGCACTGTGGTGCTGATTGAAAACCTGGAGGAATCCGTTGATCCTGTTCTGGGGCCTCTACTTGGGAGAGAAGTCATTAAAAAGGGACGGTAAGTCTCAGACATGTGGCTGTAAAGAACTGGTTCACCACTCTGGTTAGACTATGGAGAGGGCACTTCCTGGAATCTGGTTCTCAGCTCAGATCTAGGAGCTCTTTGCAGTAGACACACTTAACTCTCCCCCCAGCAGGTCGTTTAGCTGCCCCTGGCTCCTAGCGAGGCTTCCTGGAATACTTTGTTTCTGTCAGTCAGCAGTTCATTGCCGTCTTTCTAGTGGCCACAGTGCACAATTTGGGAGGAACTTTGAAGGAAAGTGGTCAGAGAGCTGACAGACTTCTAAGATGAACATTTTATTTAAGCCAGGCATCTGAGACTTAGAACCTGGCTCCTTGTCAATTTGATGAGCCTTTTTGACTTTTGGCTCTCATACATGATCAAGGCTTAAGTGCAGGGCAGAAAGAGAAGGCTTGTATGAAGGGGAAGTGAAAGGAAGCAAGAAATGTATCAATTTCAACATCAAACCTATCAGTTTACTCAGTCTTATAATTATCAAACTCAAAATATGCCTTAATTGGGTCACTCTGAGCAGTAGTCCTAACAATCTCCTATGAAGTAAACTTAGCAATTATTCTCTGCATCCTCCTAATAAACAGTTTGTATTAGTCAGGGTTCTCCAAAGAAACAGAACCAGTAGAATGAATATGTATAGATATTTATCAGCTTAGCTCACAGGATAGAGTCTGAGTAGTCCAACAATGGCTGCACCACACTGGAGAGGCTGAGAATCTGTAGTCGCTCAGTCCACAAGGCTGGATGTCTCAGTAGTCCCAATCTGGTGCTGAAGGTCTGACAAATTCCAAAATATCAGCTAGTCTTCAGTCTACAGCAGCAAGACAAACTCACCAGCAAGAGAGAAGGCAAGCTGCAAAAAGCCCCGCGTTCTCCTCTGCCTTGGTCTTTTATACCGGCTGCCATCAGAAGGTATCGCCCACATTTAGGATGTGTCTTCCGGCTTTAGATGATCCAATCAAGAAGATCTCTTTCATTTCAGTTAATCTCAGATCAAAATCAAGTTGACACCCAGGATTAGCCATCACACAGTTCTTTGTCACAAGAACTGACATGGCTTCTCTCCCGCGTTCTCCTCTGCCTTGGTCTTTTATACCGGCTGCCATCAGAAGGTATCGCCCACATTTAGGATGTGTCTTCCGGCTTTAGATGATCCAATCAAGAAGATCTCTTTCATTTCAGTTAATCTCAGATCAAAATCAAGTTGACACCCAGGATTAGCCATCACACAGTTCTTTGTCACAAGAACTGACATGGCTTCTCTTACCATCATGACTACTAGCTTTAATATGATTTATTTCTATACTTGCCAAAAGTAACTGAGCCCCATTTGACCTTACAGAAGGTGAATCTGAATTAGTTTCTGGCTTTAATGTTGAGTATGCAGCTGGCCCATTTGCCCTATTGCTTATAGTAGAGTATACTAACAGTTCCTGTGATAGAGTGCTAATTATCATGGAGATGTGATTGGTTCAGGAGCTGTCTTAGCCTGTTTTCTGTTGCTATAACAAAATACCCAAGGCTAAGTGGCTTATAAAGAAAATAGACTTATGACAGAAAATCCAAGATTGACAACTGCATCTAATAAGAGTTTTTTGGTGACACCACAGAATAGCAGCTGGCTTCTTGATGGGAGTATGTAGGGCAGGGGTTCTCAGATGGTGAGACAGAAAGCAAGAAATTATGGAAGGTTCAGCCTTACTCTTGTTGAATAACTAACTCTTTCAGAAACTAATCTGTACCTGCTAGACCTGACCCCCTCCTGATTGCATTAATCCCTTCCAGTTGCCTTCCATCAGGCCTTATCATACCAAAGACCAACAAACCTTGAGGGACAAACCATATCCAAGCCCCAACTCATTCTCTTGTTAGCCAGGAGAAAAAGTAACCCTTTGCAGCAAGCCTGGGAAGATTTCCCTGTAACAGACAGATGCCCCTTCCTCCACACACTGTGCTGCCATCTGTCAAGATAATTTCACAGTACCCCATCCATGCTAACACCATGATAATGGTGTGCCCTAGAGTGTCACAGTACAAAATCAAGCATAATGGCCAAGAGAGAAAATCTAAATCTTGCACACTTGCTCCCAACATTGGAGCCAACAGTCCCAGATGCTCACTGGACCTCATTAGGGAAAACACATGGGACTATGGCAACAATGGTGACTATGACCTCACCCATTGTTGTTTAAAGGTTTTTATTTGTTTATTTTAAGAGTATGGATGTTTTACCTATGTGTATATAAAGTACACCATGTGCATGCAATGCCAGCAGAGGCCAAAGGAGGACATCAGATCCCCTGGAACTGGAGGTACATATAAATAGTTGTTAGCTACCATGTAGGTGCTGGAAACTGAATCCAGGTCTTCTGCAAGAGCAGCCAGTGCTCTTAACTGTTGAGCCGTCGTTCCAGCCTGTTGATGGTTTTACTTTTTTTAAGGTCTAAGATCCTGTTCCTTATCACCACAGGAATGTATCCCACCTTTACATGAGCTTTTATGTTCCAGATTCATTAAAATTGGAGACAAAGAGTGTGAATACAACCCCAAATTCCGGCTCATCCTTCACACCAAACTGGCCAACCCTCACTACCAACCTGAGCTGCAGGCTCAGGCCACCCTGATCAACTTTACTGTGACCAGGGATGGCTTGGAGGACCAGCTGCTGGCTGCAGTGGTTAGTATGGAGAGACCAGACCTGGAGCAGTTGAAGGTGTGTTGGGGGTCCCTGAGAAAGGGAAGGAGGGATCAAAGAAAGGAGAGCAAGAGGGAGGGAGAAAGGAAGTGGGGAGGGATGCTCTGCCACTAGATGCTGTATTGCATCTAGTGCACCCACTCTGGGAGCAGGGCTAAGGCTGTTTTTCCTGGAATTAAACAGAGTGGGCTCTGTAAGACACTGGATGAGTCCTGACCCCTCTGGTCTCCTGGGGACACCCAGTTCTGAAACAGAGACAGGCAAGCTGAAGAACAGAAGGACAGCTAGGATAGTGTACATTCCTGTCACTCAGAACATGGCCTGGGTCAAGGCTGTGGCACAAGGGCATCTGATCACACCAATTCACTCACATGCTGACATCTGAAACTTAGTAGAATTGAATTCTGGATGGGTAACAGAAACAGATTCATCCCTGATAGGGGTGTGTCTTGGGCAGCTCAGGCACAGACTGGCCAGCTTAACATGTAGACATGTATGTCTTTGCAGTTCTGGAGACCGGGAGCCCGAAACCATGGTGCTGACAGTCAGTTCCTTGTGGGGCCTCTGTTCTTGGCTTGCCTGTGGTTGGCTCCTCATGTGACCTCTTGGGCATGTATAGAGATAGGAACCCCTCTCTTGTGTTTCTTCTAGGAACACTAATCCCATCTAGCACAGGATCTACCCTATGGCATTTAATCACCTTCCTATTATATAGTCAGTTGGGGAATTAGGGTCTCAGCATAAGAATTTGGAAGAGTTCAGTCCATGGCAGTTAGTATGCTTTACCTACTCTCTTTAAATGCAGATAGATTAGGTGACACAGGCCAAGAGAGAAAGGCTAAACTTCCCACAGCATGTGTGAAGTGGAGTTCAAGGTGCTCCAGAACTCTCCCTAGAATCATCATCTATTTTGAAGAGACATCAAGAAGCCCAACTCCCTAATGGACAAGGTGATGGTATGGATGACTCTGCAGAGGGCAGGAAGACTATGTCCCTATACTCATCAAGCTCAGAGCCAAGCAGGGAACACAGGAAGAAAGGACGCATTTGGAGAAGTAATGTCCTTTCTGTTACTAATAAGAATTTTAAGGAAATAAAACAAAGTAATATGAAAAAGCTACAGGCCTGAGCTGGCTGCCAGCTCATCATCCTCCCACCTCTGCCTTCCCTGCGTAAGAACTTCATGTGTGTGCCAGTAGGCACAGCCTAAGGGGACTAATTTAAATAGCCATGTTCAAAAAGCATCTAGGAGGAGTTGGCATTTTGAGCTAATTCTTAATTTGAAAGCCTCTATGCACAGAGTGTTCCCAGCAGAGGACAGTGAATCCTGGTCCTCGGGCTAGAGTGAGATCTGTGTTTTTAAAGAAATACAACAGGGACTTGAAAGGTAGCTCAGTGGTTAAGAGCACTTACTACTCTTGCAGAGGACCAGAGTTTGATTCCCAGCAGTCAGATCAGGTGGTTCACAATTGCTTTAACTCCAGCCTCAGAGGATCTAATGCCTTCTTCGAACCTTGGCAGGCACTACATGCACATACACATGTCCACACACAGATATACACACATATACATAATTAAAGATAAAAATATATCTTTAAATTTTTTAAAAAGTAACAGGGGGCTAGAAAGATGGCTCAGTAGTTGAGAGCAGGTGAAAAGGGCCAGGGTTCCATTCCTAACACCCAGTTTGGGCAGCTCACAACTGGCAGGAACTCCAGTTCTAGGGGATTCTGCCTTCTTCTGGTCTCTGCAGGCTCCTGCACACATATGCTTATGTAGGCACACACACATACACATAAATAAAGTAAATAAATCTTTAAAAGAAAAAGAAACAGAACAGAGGCAAGGGTGGCCTGGCTAAATCCTCAACACGTAGCATGTTCTTCCCCGGATCAGAAAGCTGCACAAGGACTTGAAAAAAGCTAGGGCCACCTGGAGCTGACTCCAAATGCTAGAGTAAAAACAAAGTGCCCGTGCCTTAGGAGTGCTTTAGGATTCAGAGCTTGGATTCCAGTCCTACCCCAGCATCAAAGAAGTCTCCTGCAAGGACTTTATTGGAACTGTGTGAGTAAGGCAGTTGGTTTTGTCTTTTAAAGACTACTGCTCTTCTGAGGCCAGTAAAATAACAGCTAGAACTCTCCAGAAAACTGAAACATTTCTCTTTGCATACGCTCCGTTTAATGACCTGAGCACTTACTGTGCATAGCCATAGGGCTGGGAATCACTTGAGATCACTGATATGGAAAGAGCAAAACCAGCCTATGGTCTCCAGTTTAGAGCAGTCATCCCTCAGTATCAGTTGGGGATTGTGCCCAGGAGCCCATCAGATACCACACCAGTGGTCGCTCAAGTCTCTTATGTAAAATAACACGGTATTTGCATAGAACCTGCACATATCCTCCCCACATACCTTAAATTCTCTCTAGGTTACTTATAGAACTTAATACAATGTAAATGCATAGAGAGTATTCAGACTGTTGCTCAAGAAACAATGGCATGGAAAGTCTGCACATATTAATTCACTGAATTTTCGGTCTGGGCTAGTTGCATTTACAGACGCAGATCCGGCAGCCCTGAAGGCGGACTGCACTCACCTCTGCTCACAGTTGCAGGCACAAAGCTGTTCCCCCTCCCCCTGCCCAGGTTCACTGTCTCGGCAGGGACGGTGGCCCCTCTGACACTTATTCATACAGTCTTGTTCTCAGTGCTTTGGCATCTCTACCTCACTCTTTTTTTTCTCAATGTTTGCAGTCGGATCTCACAAAGCAGCAGAACGGATTCAAAATCACACTCAAGACATTAGAAGACAACCTGCTGTCTCGCCTCTCTTCAGCCTCAGGAAACTTCCTGGGAGAAACTTCCTTGGTGGAGAACCTGGAAGTCACCAAGAAAACTGCTGCGGAGGTGGAGGACAAGGTACCCTCACCCTGGAGCGCAGGAAGGCCTAGGCTACATGGCTCTTTTGGTTTCAGTTTTCCGTGTGCGCGGTACTTGAACCTGGTTTTCGTTTCCCATCCTCCTGAGTTTCTTCTAAAATTTCCATGCACATATGGGCTGCACTAATTGAAATTAATGGGTTAACAAAAAAAAGGAGAGGCTGGAGAGATGGCTCAGAGGTTAAGAGCACTGGCTGCTCTTACAGAGGCTCTGGATTGGGTTCCCAGCACCCACATGGTGGCTAACAACCATCTGTACCTCCAGTTCCAGATCTGATGCCCTCTTCTAACCTCCGCTGGCACTGAATGACAGGGGTGCACTTACATGCAGGCAATACAGTCATCCACATGAAATAAAAATAAATAAATCAAAAAAAAAATTAAGGAAACACAAGACAAAGTTGAGAGAGGGAAATGCTGGAGGAGGAAAATGGGAGTGGGCATGATCACATTTCATAGTACACATGTATGAAAGTCTCAAGAATAAAGAAAAATTGTAATTTAGAAAAGACTTTTTTTTTTTGTCTTTTTGAGACAGGGTCTCCCTCTAGCCCCAGCTGGCCTGGAACTCACTATGTAGACCAGGCTGGCCTCGAACTCACAGAGATCCACCTGCCTCTACCTCCCGAGTGCTGGGATTAAAGGCGTGCGACACCGCGCCCAGCCCTAGAAAAAAAAAAAAAAAACGTTTTTTATTCTAGACAGGATTCCTAAGATGACTATTGCCCATCTTAAGTTGCAGGGTTCCCAATTTCTAGAAAATGCTTTTGACAGCTCTACTTCACAGATTCCTAATAAGTACTTAAGTCTGAGCTGCTGTCTGTGTAGGGAATGCTGTTCACAAGGAGTGCCCAGGCAGTTTGTAGAATGACCCCAAAGCTATATAAGTTGACTGACCCAAATGTGACTGTGTCCTAAGAAAGCCCACTAGACTGACAAAAAAAAAATCTTTCTGATTTTAATGAGAAAATGTCAATAACTTTCCAGGAAACTCAACTTTCAACAACTATATCATTCTGGAAAACAGTTACAGTACAGAACTCCCCTCCTTCTTGTCACAATATTGGGAAGGCTTTTATCCCCCCACCTTGGAGACCAGAAAATGGCTTGAAGAAGGGACTGAAGTCCTCACCTCTCCACACAGTCAAGCAAACACATTCAGGTCCTTCTGCATCTCAGCCTTGCTCCCATCAGATCAGTTATGAAGCTGGCTCTCAGAAGGACAGCGCATATCTGCAGTGGTGACCAGGAACACTATATCTCCAAATGAGGATGCTGACTGCCAACTTACTTAGGGAGACTTTTCCAAATAGGAAAATCTTTGTTCTCAGTAGAGACAAAATAAAGTGAAAGTGGGATGGGATGTGGTTCAATAGGAGAACACTTGCTTTGTATGTATGAGGCCCTGTGTTCAGTCCTCAGCACCACCAGAAAATAAAGGGCAACTAAAGTCAGGATGATGGCCAGATCAGCCGGTCACACACAGTCTGAGATAGGAAGCAGCAATGATGGTTTTGAAAGGTTCCACCTAGCAGCTCAGCTGCTGCAGTGGGTCCAAGATTTGTTGTTAGTTATTCAAACTGCTGCAACTCCAGAGAGGGGCCATGCCAGCCTTTAAATAAAATAGGGTAGAACGTTCAATGTTCTGGGCTACAGAGAGAGGGTGAGTTGGAGGGCAGAATCAGCCATGCTGATCTCTCTTGCCTCTTCATCCTTTTCTTCATCTTTTCTTTAAAATCAATGAACCACTGCATTGTCATGTGTCTATGAAACATTTTTATTTATTTTGTTCCCTTTTATAAGGGTAGTTTTTTCTTCTCATTCATCTAATAGATCCTTATTTGGAGGCTACCATATTCCAAATTCCATGACAGACATTGGGGACACAACAAGGAGCATGCCAGGATTGTGAAAGAAGATGGGCAGTTGAGGAAAGGATTTGAAGTCACAGGAATGGGGGAGAATGTTTGATACGGTGGGACTCTAAGAAAGCATAACTCAGGTCAAAATGGAAAAGCTCCTCTTTAGAAAAATGGAGAGTGGATTTTCAGTGTCATAAGGCATAAGGGGCAAACATGAGTCTACAAATGGTTCATGGGCCCATGTGGACAACTGAGGTAGGAAGGCAGACAAGAGAATAGGGGTAACAGAAATGATGGTTGTTCATTCCTGATGTTCTCTACACACAGTCCTGTGTGGCTTCACAAAGGGGCATGTTCTGGACAGTACATCACTCTAAGAGCATCACAGTGTACTTCCATGGACACCGACAGTTACACCATCACTAGGCAGTTAGGAGTGTGTGGTACTCCATTATACAAGCAGTCTGTTCGTAACCAAAAATACATATGTCACATGACTGTATTTGGGGAACACAGCAGTCAAGCTCACCTACTGCAAGTGAGGGGATGAGGAGGAGGTATAAGGTTAGGAGAGTGGTGAAATTTTATGGTACTTATAGAAAATGGGAACATGACAAGAGGCATAGAGATTAATAAGCAGCACTAACTAGTTGGCAAGACTGAAGACTGAATCTGTAATGACTAGTTTTGAGCAATTACATTATGTTTAATCCTTTCCTGAGGTTCCTTGTCTTTCAGCTGCTGAAGTAACTAATTTATGTTTAGTATCATTATTGACATAGAGTAGTATTTTTCTACTGTCTTAGGGTTTCTTATCAATCAGCATATTCATCTAAGATATTATTATTTGCATGTGCTGCAATCCTTTGTATTCTCCTATTGAGTTTGAAATGTATCACAGGTTGTTGACTGGAAGTTATAGGATGCCAGAACTCTGTGTGGGGCTGTCCCTTATCTAACCCCACTCCTTCAACTCCCCCACTGTGCTCGGCTTCTCGTGATCACCAATCCACTCCCTGCTTCTCTGTCATTAGTTCCTTTAAGTTCTACAAATGACTGAAACATGAAATGCTTGAGGTTCTGTGCCTGGTTGATTTCCTTTAACACAGTTCTCTCTGGTTTCACCTGCTTTGATACAAATGGCAGGATTATGTTTCCTCTTGGCTCAATAGTATTCCATTGTGTATATCTGCTGCATTTTTCATATCTATTCTTGAACCAGTGGGCACCTCAAGTCCATAACTTGGCTATTGTGAATTGTGATAGTTTTTGCAGTAAACATTGGAGCTCAACTATCCCTTTGATAGAATGTTTGCATTCCTTTAGATATAGGCCCAATGGCAGATCACAACGTAATTATATGTTTAGTTTTTTGTTTTGTTTGGTTTGGTCCTTTTTTTACTGTTTTCCATGATGGCTATAGTACTTTACATTCCTATCAATGTGCATAAAGCTTCCTTTTTCTCTACATCCTTACTAAAAAAAAAATCTGTCTTTTTTTAACTTTAAAAGCTGTATTGACAGCAAGACAATAATACATTCTCTTGATTGATTTTTAAATTTTTCTTTATTTTTGAGAATTTCATACATGTATACAATGAAATAGGATCATATCTACCCTGCTTTTCCCCCCTCCAACTTCCCCCAGGTCCCTCACCCTATCCCCTCCTAACTTCATGTCTGTGTGCATGGGTGTAGGTCCATCAGCTGAAGCATGGAAAAAATCAGTTCAATAAAGAATCATTTTCCCCACTGTAGCAACTATCCACTGCCAATAGCTCCTCAGTAAGGGGTGGGGCCTGGAGACCATCTACCCCATCTATGCCTAAATTTTGGCTGGCTTGATCTTGTGCAGGCTTCATGCAGGTAACAGCTACTATGAGTTAATAATAGCCATATAATGTCCAGAAGACGGCATTTCACAGCACTCCTGTGCAACCTCCAGCTCTTAACATTCTTTCTGCCATCTCTTCTGTGATGTTCTCTGAGACTTGGCAGGAGAGGGTGTAATACAGATGTCCCACTTAGGACTGAGCACTCAGTCTCTTATTCTCAGTATTTTGATCACTTACAACATCATTGATGTCCACTGAGAAAAGAAGTTTCTCTGACCAAGATTGAGAGGGCTGAGGTCTATAAGCACAAACAGATATTTAGAGGGCAATTTGATGGCATAACCATTTAACAAAATAACAAGAGCCAATTCTACCCTAGGGCCCATGACTACCTACCCATGGGCTTTAGCCAGGATTGCAGTGCCACAGGCATGAAATTCCTTCTTGTGGCAAAGGCCTCAAATCTAATCAGAAAGGGTTAGTTACCCCATTAACAGTCTTTCCACTATTGCACCAGTAGGCATATCTTGCCTAGCAGATCAGTGTTGTAACATATAGATAGGGTCATGCACTGGATAAGACCATTGGTGTCTTTTCTCCCCCAGAAACCTACATAGCACCTTCTAATACTGTGACAGCCAGCAGGGAGGAAATTTCCTTGTTGTTTCAAATTGATGTCTTGATGCTCTGTAGGCAAAGGTGTAGTGTCTTCAGCAATAGGATCTTACCAAATAGTTATGATGAGTAACCAAGGGCAATGGCAATAGGCTATTTATCCCGGGGACCTCTGTGGTCTTTCAAACCTACAACTCATCCCATGCCTTCTACTGTGACTTTCATTTAACAGCCTGTGTCTCCCGGGAGTGACATTGTTCATCCATGCAGGGTAATTCCATTTGAACATTTCTTGGTTAAAGTTTCATTTTGAAATTCGCTTACTAACTGGTGGATTTCTGTAAGCCTTTTTCATACAGCCTTAGTTTTGGTTAATAGCCATTCTAACTGGAGTGGATCTTTTCCTGCTCTGTTATCTCTCTTTATTCTTCTCTTAGCCTGCACTGATTTGAAACCTGCTCACCCTTTTATTTTAATCTTTTGTATTTCTATATAAGTGTATTTATTTTAAATATGTGGCTTTAATATATGTATTCTAATGAAGTATGAAATTAAGCAATATATCTAGCCTCTTCCAAAACAATTTTAGAGCACTTTAATTCTAATCACTTCTTCCCATCTACTGTTATTTCATAATGTATCTTGTGGGTTGTTACTGCCATTAAGAA